GTTTTATAGGGTGAGTTATCTTTTCCTATGTATGTGTCCTGTCTCTCCCCTTCAATCTTAGGCCCTTAACCTTTTTGTGTGTATCATGAACCCCTCCTTGGCGGTCTGATAAAATCTTTGGAGCCCTTTACGTAATGATGTTTCTAAATCCACAGAGTAAAATACATAAGATTATAAAAGAAACCAGAGGAAAGTGAAAATAAAGATGGAGTTTTTCCCTTTCATGTTCATGGGCCCCTTGAAATTTATCCATGGGTCCCTTGGGTGTCTGTGGGCCCCAAATTAAAAACCCCTGACCTAAAGATATATAAAAACTGATTTAAATTTATAAGAATAAGAATCATTCACCAATTATCAAATAGTTAAAGAATAGACAGTTTTCTAAGATAGAAATCTAAACTATAGCAATATGAAAAAAAAACTTCAAATCACTAAAAATTAAAGAAATGCAAATAAAAGCAACTCAAGTGTCACCTCAGATCCATCTGACTAGAAGCTGACAAAATAGGAAAATTACAAATCTTCAAGGGGGTGTGGGAGAATGGACACATTGTTATACTATTGTTGGAGCTGTGAATGGGTAAAACCATTCTGGAAAGCAATTAAGAATTATTCCCCAAGAGTTACTAAACTGTTCATACCCTTTGACCCAGCAACCCCATTATTAGACAGATAGCCCAAAGAGATCAAAAGAAAAGGAAAGGAACTTTTAGTGTGTACAAAAATATTTATAGCAGCTCTTTTTGTAGTGGAAAAGAACTGGACACTAAGGGTATGGTCATTAATTAGGGAATGGTTGAACAAATTGTGGTATAGGAATGTAATGAAATACTATTGTAAGAAATTTTTAAATGGATGGTTTCAGAGAAACCTGGGAAGACTTGGATGAACTGATACTGAGTGAATTGAGCAGAATCAGGAGAATAATTTATAATGTAACATCATCATTGTAAAAAATTTTTTTGAAAGACTTAAAAACTGCAATCAATCCAATGACCAACTAGTACTAGAGAACTAATGATGAAGCAAGCTACCCACCTCCTGACAAAGAGGCATGGGCCTGATGTGCAGAATAAGACATGAATTTTTGGACATGGCCATTGTGGAAATTCATTTTTGCTAGATTATGCTTATTTGTTGCAAAGGTTTTATTTTTCTTCTATTTTCTTTTCTTCGTAGTGAGGGAAATGTGAAAGGAAAAATACTTGACAGCTGAAAATTTTAATTAAAAAAAAAAGAACCTCTTATTTAGATGGATAGTTAAGTACTTTGATAGTACAGACTGTACTTCTTTCTAAGGAAGAAATCCAAACATTTCCTCAACAATGCCTATCAAAATGCTTTGCATATAATGAATGCTCAATACATGCTTGATTGATTGATTTCCAGAGGCAAAATCTTAGGAGGTAGAATAACCCTCAAAAGTAAGAGAGAAACCCCCTGATTTTCCCCCAAGGTCATGAATGCCCCTCTATTCTTAGCTCCTCACCTGGGACAGAGGCAAAAAATATTTTGTCCTCTCCTGGGCTGAGGCTACTTGTAGCCATTTCCCAGGAGAACTGAACTGAATGGGTATAATGCAGTTGTCCTATACAGATTATGTTTTCTCTTCTCTCCCCATGTTTCTTGTGCTCTCAAAGCAAGCATCAAACACACAACTTCCTTACTTTCTCACTTGAGACTGCAGGATGCATGCAAGGGGGAGGTTGGCAGCAGTCCCATGGTGTTTGGAAGATTCAGTGCTCTTCGCAGCCAACATGCTGAGAGTTGGGGGTTGGAGGGGATGAAACAGAGAGACACAGAGAGGAGAGGCGGGGAGCCAGAGATAAAAACCAGACACCTTCTGGAAGAGATTCTTGAAAGTGTTGCAGACCCAAGATGGGAGCCACATGACCTGGCTGTGTCTATAAACATTTCTTGGCAGAGAAAGGCCCCAGTTCATGCCTAGCTAAACTCTAACCTAGAGTTTTCCTCTTCTTTCATCATCTACAGGCCTGATATGAAGATATCCCAGAGGTAAAGCTAACAGTCTTGTAAATAATTAAGTGGTCACCAGCACAGGTAGGCCTAGGCATTTGCCTAAGACCATAATGCTGAAAGCAGCGAACTCATAAGAAAAGGAACTTACATTGTCTTTCAGAGCAATCTGTGTACCTTGTTATAACATGAATTAATATAGGATTTTAAAAATTGATGTGAATACCACTATCATTTATTGTAAAGATTACTCATTGGACACATTATAGATTAACATGTATTGTGGGGGTGGGCAGTGTTCCATGGTGGACAGACAGCTGGTCTTGAATTCAGGAGGAAATGGATTCCAGTCCTACCTGTGACATATACTGGCTTAAACTCCTAGTTCTCTAAGCTACTTGTTAACATTGTTAGTCTCAGAGAAGATGCTATCTGGCATAGGTAGAGGATGGCTCCTTATCTGTAGTTCTCATAATAATAATATAATATAATATAATATAATATAATATAATATAATCATAGGTCTGGTCCAAAAAGAAAAGTGTGTGTGTGTGTGTGTGTGTGTGTGTGTGTACACACACATAAATACACACACACACATACACAGTGCATGTGTTACTTTTATCCATTCCCCATAATACCTAGGACAGGGTTTTGTGTGCTCTTTGTTAATACCTGTTTAATTGATGAATTGACTGAGGAGGGGTGGCAGCTAGAGAGCTATTCTTAGAATCATAAAGACTTAAATTCAAATCTTGCCTCTAATATATGCATTATGGCCATGAGCAAGTCACTTAATCTTTTGATGCTCCAGGCCCTACCCTTTAAGATTATTAGTTATAGTTATTATTAGTTATAGAAGAGTTGCCCATTTGAATTAGTGGAGGGAGTTTCCACACTAGGACTTCTACATACTAATAGAATCATAGGTTTGGGCAAAAAAAAATGATTAATTGAAATTAGTTTCAGCCAAATAAGCAACTGTCATGGTGGGATAGAGGGTGGTCCAGGCAGTATTGCATTGTTCTGGGAATGTTATTGACATTAGTGAGTATGGGACAGGTATTTATGAAAATCAGTTTTCATTTTTTAAACCACTGGTGTCAAACTCAAATATAAAGGAGTGGAGATAGATATTCTGTACATGAGGATACCTGCAGGCTGCATATTGACTTACATTAAAAATGTAATGTTAGCTTTGTTATTTTGGTAACTATTTCCCAGTTAGACCTTAATATGGTGCACTCAGTAGTGTTGCAAACAGCATTTTTGACATCTCTATTTTCAACTCTTGTGTTTACAGAATCACAGATTTTTAGAGTTGGAAGGGACCTTATCAATCATTCCCTCCATCCCATATGTAAAAGAAATCCCATTCTAAATTACCCAACAAGGAAGGACTCCCCAATCTAACATACCCAACAATTACATTCAAGTATCTACTCAAACATCTCCAACGAGGGGAAGCCTGCCACCTCCTGCAGCAGGCTGTCCTTAATTGTTGGGAAAGTCTTCCCCAACATCAAGCCCAAACTGACCTCTTGGCAACTTCCTCTCATTGCTTCTGGTTGTTCCATCTGAGACCAAACAGAGCCAGTCTAATCCTGCCTTCACAAGTACTTCAAGACGTATCTTCCACCAGTCTTCATAACATGGGTCCAAGGCCCTTCGCCATCTTCTTTGCCTATATCTGGGAACTCTCCAGTTCAACAATGTTGCTTTTAAAGTATTGGCACCCAGAACTGATCATGCTTTTCCAGATGTGGTCCAATCAGGGCAGAGGAACTACCATTTCCCTATATTTTAGAAGCTATATCTCTCTTAATGCAACCCAAGATCTCATTAGCTCTAGGTTGAAGTCTAGCTGTGGCAAGGACTGGGGTCATAGTTATTTGTGGTTATTGTAATTTACATGTATAATAGGGTTCTTGGAAATGGGAAGCCACCAGTTTAATCTTCTTAATCATCACTTTCATCATGATGAGCAATGATGGTAGACTTCTTCATGGCCTACAGGATAATATCAATTTTATTCTTGCTAAACATTCAAGACCCTTCAAAATCAGAACTTAAAGTATCTTTCCAACCTTATGTCCAAATATTTTACTATCATCATTAGCAAAAGAACTCACATTTTACAGTGCCTTTGTAAGGTTGATAGTGTGTTATTACCACCACCATTTTCTAAATGAAGAAACAAGAACTTTCTGCTTTAGCTAAGGAGGTCTTGTAAGTGTTGCCTGAACTGCCTTCCATCAGCATTCAAGGCTCAGCCCAAGTCCATGATGACTACTCCAGCCCACAGAAATAGTTCCATCTTTTGAATGAATGTAATATCTATTGTTGGTTGCATTTAAGGAATTATAGGAGCTAGAACTAGAAGGAATCTTAGTGAATCTGAGCCAATTCCATCATTCTATAGATGAGAAAACAAGGCCCAGAGATGCTGAGTGATTTCTTCCTGTTCATGCAGGTAACAAAGTTCACATACTAACTCAAAACTTCAGACTGCAAATCCGATGGTCTTTCTACTATCCCAAGCTATCTCCATCATTTGACACTGATGATATAATTCAAATCCAGTCACAGTAGCTATGTTTTCCTGGGTAAGCCACTTAACCCTGTTTGCCTCAATTTCCTCATCTACAAAATGAGCTAGAGAAGGTAATGACAAAGCATTCCAGTATTTTGTCCAAGAGAACCCCAAATGGGGTCATGAAGAATCAGACACAACTGAAATTACTGAACAACAACAACAACAATAATATACTACCTTATGTTGCCATTTATCTTTTCATATTTGTGTCTTATTTCTCTCACTGGGTTGCAAGTTCTTTGGGTATGATGACTTTATCATTCTTATAGGGCCTAGCTTAGACTAGGCACATAGGAGGTATTCAATAATTACTTGTTAATTTTTTATTATTAATGGTTGATATGGAATCCATGGCTATACAAGATTCCCTTTATGTGGACCTTTCCTTAATTGTTCTTTGTATTCTGTATTTATTTTTTCTCATTAGGCGTTTGAACAAGAATAAACTACAAGTGCTTCCAGAATTGCTTTTCCAGAACACCCTGAAGTTAACCAGATTGTAAGTAGAGCTTGATTCCTAATATACAGGTTGTGCTTTTATTTACTATGGCTGGTGTGGAGCTGGTGTGGATAATGCATTTGCCATCATGTTGGTAGTCTCTTGTGCCATATGATATTTGGCGGTGGATCTGTTGAATAGAAAAGTCAGACCAATGTTTAGTGAGGTGTTGCCAGTTGAAGGAAATGGAACTAGAGAGAAAAGAAAGAAGCCATCACTCTTTGCTTCTCCTTGCTTCCCTCAGAGCTTAAAAGTTTCAAGAAGCCAGTGGTGATAATTTGTTTCTGATGGTGGGATGCGCCTTGCTAAAGGGGAAGGGGGTTTCTAGAAGGGCCCAGATGCCTGGAGAGAAATGTCTCATGTGTATAGGATTTGCTTTCAGTTTGTTAACAAAAAAAGTGCTGGTTATGGAGAGCTCTTGCTTTGAACACAACATTCTGAATAGAGCCTGGATTCACATACAGTCATTCTAGTGAGAACTGTGCCTGCCATTTGCAGAATAAATGGGGCATAGACTATGCTTTCTGGATCTCCTAGCCACAGAATACTCCATTGAGAGGATGTTTCTGTAAGAAAGGGTGAGCCAGCTAGTCATTTTTTCCCCACCAGAAATGATCAGTTACAGTGACATCTGGACACATTCATTTAATATGAATTATTTTGAACAGGGAGACTGGTTGGAATTGGAGACGAAATATGGTTTTTGAGGTGGTGGGACTGAGCAAATACATGATGGGTGCTCAGCCAATGCTTATTGATGGTGGCCAGTGGATTCAGTGATTCTGGTGTGGATTTTCCTAGGACTTCTTTTGCTAATCACAAGACAGAACTGGATAGAGCAGGACTTGGCCATTTTGGGAACTTTTCAGCAGGAGCTGCATGCAGATACATTTTATTCTGGAGTAGTCGTTTTTTTTTTTATTAGTGGTATAACAAATGGCCTGACTGCTGTAGAAGCCTTGCTGGTGAAACTGTACAGTTACCATAGGGAGGCTGAAAAGCTGTGATGTCCATATATATTTCCAATTGTGTTTAATATTTACTTGTGCGATAAAATTATGCATGAAGGAATGGACATAAATTCCTCTTCCTTGGGAAACATAAAATACATGACAACATCTTATATTCATTTAGGAGCCAAATCAAAGCTAGGAAGAATACACATATACATTATTACATACACATGCACATACACAAACACACAATTTAAGAGTTTCGCTGTCGGTGCACCAACATGAAAGGACTGGATGGGGACCTGAATTGGACAGAGGCCTTCTTCTTCACAAGTGAGAGACGCCTGCATGTTGTCAGGCACTCCTGCAGTGTTTTCTGCACCAAGGTGCTCTGTTATCTCTGTCAACACCTTCTTACTGGATATGGGACATCCTCATGGTCTTCTACTCAGGAACTACTACACAGCTGGTTTGACATGAGGGTGAATGCACACCCCCCACCCCCATGCTTTTTGAACACACATGTGAGTCCACCTTGCTAGAGTTTCTAACTCAGCTGGAAAAGCTGAGTTAAGAGCAGAGCCAGGAAAACAGCGTAAGCTGACCCTGGTTTCCACCTCATCTCCCCAGTATATCCATTTCCTTAAATTATTTCCACACAAGAGCCTGGTTTCTCAGCTCAGGATTACATAGCACTTGTTTATCCTGCTTTTATACAATTAGGGCAGATTATATGCTATTTATTTTGTGATTTTGTTATTGGCTTTTCAGTAAATGGAATATGTCTGGTTTTTGCTACCCAGGTTGACTGAGTAGTTTATAGGATTACAGAGCTCTTAGGGGTCATTTAGCCCAACCCTCTCCTTTTGCAAATGAGGAAACCAAGACCAAAGGAGGTTAAATGAATTACCTATTGTCACACAGATGGTAAGTGACAGAAGTGGGATTTGAACCCAGTTCCTCCAGGGCTCATTGCACAGCATCATGCTGCTTCTGATTTGTGCGATGATAATCTGTGGTCAGATTTTCACATTTAAGAAATCCTCAAATGCATGTGTAAAATTGCTAACTCTTACATAAATGGTTCTCTTATCCAAGACCTTAAGTGGGCTCTCAGTTGGTCTTGCTGGTCATTCTGTGAGGCTTTCCTGATATGGCAGCAAGCCGAGAAGCTGTTGAGGTTCTATCATCAGATCCCTAAAGTACAGCCCCCCAGTCTTCCCCAAATCAATTCCTAGTTCCCTGGGTGGCATGAAGAGGACCAAGATTTCAGTCAGCACTGGGCCAAACTGCCACCAAGCATCTGCTGCGGGCCTTGTGGTGGGTACACATGCTGCAGAGGACATCATTCCTCTCCATGTGTCTGACCAAACCTGAATGTATCTGTCTTTGCAAATCCCCTGCTTCAGTCTTCAAAAAGAGTACAGCACCTCAGTGGACATAGCTCTAAACTTCAGTGAAGTCAAGATAATTAATATAATTAGCTGAATATGCCACAAAGTACAATCTACAGTGAATCCCCCAGGCCTTTACTCTTTTTTTTTCTAAAGAATTAAATTATGTCCATATCTGAAGAGTGACTGTGAGCTATGGTTATAGGGTAAGCATGGACAATCTCTGTAACACTGAATGGGATGTTTAGGTACAGTGGAACCTTGCCCTACCTAGTCATTCTTGGGCATGATTCAATGGGAAATGGCATCTCTCTTATTTTTGGACATGGCCAATGTATGAATTTGTTTTGCTTGACTATGCATATTGGTTACAAGGTATTTTTTTTTAAGTGGTAGATAGTGGGAGGGAAAGAAAATAAATGCTTGTTAGTTGAAAAATAAACTAATTGAAAATAGGAATGTGGGCTCTATTTGGACCTGTCAAGGCCTTCATTATCAGTGAACCCCCTCCCCCCCAACAACTCTAGCCTTCATTGATATCTCCCTTTTCTGAACTCTCTCAGCCTTTCCAGCCACATTTCACACTTTTCCCCCCTGACCTCTACACTCAGCTACTCTGGACTGCCCTCTACTCCTACCCTCCCACCATGCCTTGTGCTCACTTGCTTCTTGAGCCTTTATTCTCATGCCCTTTACCATCTTCCTCCCCACCTCCACCTCTGGGTCTGCACTTTAAAGCCATAACTCAGTCACCACGTCCATCATGAATGCTTCCCTGTCAGTCAGGATCTTTCCCATTCAGACTTCTCATTGTGTAACTCTCTGATGCACTTTTAATGTAAAATTGCACATTATTTTTTTCTTTACGTCTTATCTTCCCACTAGACTGGAAGCTCCAGAAAGAAGAAAGATAAAGTCTTATCTAAACTTTGTATCTCCCCCCTCCCCAGGCCTACCACAGTGCCCTTCAGATAGAAGTTACTTAATAAATCTTGTTAATAGATTGTTGACTTCAACTGAATTCCTGTTGCATATGAAACTTAGGACTTGATTATAACTTATTGTCTAGTTCGTTGGTTTTTTTTTAAACTGGAAGGGACCTTAGATGTGTGTGTGTGTGTGTTCATCGAATCATAGTTTTGGAACTAGAAGGGATCTTACAGGCCAGCTTGTCTAAACCCTTCACTTTACAGATGAAAGTGACCTATCCAGGGCCAAAGAACTAATTGGTGTTAGAGGTTAAATTTGGACCTGAGTCCTTCTGATTCCAAGTACAACATTCTGTCCACTATGCTTCTAGAAGATTATAAGGGTCTCAAGGGTAGAGCTGTGTCTTCTTCTGTATTCTGCACAATGCCTTACACAGTCAAGTCAACAAGTAGTAAGTGCTCGCTATGTGCCAGGCTCTCCACTAAGCACTGGGAATACAAATACAAGCAGAAAGACAGACAATCCCTGCCTTCAAGGGGCTTACCATCTAATAGAAGAAGACAACACATAAAAAGCTGAAATGGCAGGCATGTGGGGTGAGGGTGGAGGTGGAGGTACCCATTGCCAAGTCATGGTAGAGAAAGTTCTGTAGAGAGTCAGGAGTGTACCTTGGACAGGTATGAAAAAAAGGTTGATCTGGGACTTCTTAAAATAGAGGTTCTGAGAAGAACCACATGGTAGACAGGAGTAGAGAGTACTTCCTTTAATTTATATGTATGTGTGTGTGTGTGTGTGTGTGTGTGTATATATATATATATGTGTGTGTGTGTGTGTGTGTGTGTATTTATTTCATTGAATATTTCCCAATTACATGTAAAAGTTTTTTAAACATTCATTTTTTAAAATTTGGAGCTCCAAATTCTCTCCCTCCCAGTCCCTCCCACACCCCTAGAAAAGGCAAGCAATATATCAATTATACATGTGATATTACGCAAAACTTATTTCCATATTAGCCATATTACAAAAGAGAACATTCAACAACTCCCAAGAAAAATGAAGAAAGCAAAAGAGTATGCATCAGTCTTCACTCAGAACTCATCAGTTCTCTCTGGAGGTGGTTAGCATTTTTCACCATGGGCCCTTTAGAATTGTCTTGGATCATTGTCTTGATCAGATCAGAGTTAGCTAAGTTAGCACAGTCATTCATCCTTACAGTATTGCTCTTACTGTGTACAATGTTCTCCTGTTTCTACTCACTTCACTTTGCATCAGTTAATGTAAGCCTTCCCAGGTTTTTTTGAAAGCATGCTGTTTTTCATTTCTTATAGCACAATAGTATTCCACCACAATCATATACCACTTATACAACTTGTTCGGCCATTCCCTAATTGATGGGCATCCCTTCAAATTCCAATTCTTTGCTACCATAAAAGAGTACTTCCAATGTAAGAAACAGTACATTAGTAGAAGAAGCTTCTGGAATGAAGAGGTTTTTCTATGGCATGGTAGACAATGTCCATGGTAGACAATGCAAAGTCGGAAGTGCAGCCTGGAGAGGAATGAAGACAGTACTAAGTAGAGCCATAATTAGGTCAGGGCCCCTTGTCACCAAAATTTTGAGGATGAAAACAAAGTTAACACATGCACCCCTTCCATAGCATGGAAGTCTCAATAGCAACTAATTACTCCTCCTGCTAAACTGAATTTCTCTTAAATACCACTT